AGCAGACTATCTCAGCCCCTCTCCCCAACACGCACCACTGCCCCTGGCAGCCAATCCCCTCTGTGGCCTCTCGGACCCCCGAGTCCTACCCTGCATCTCAGCCAGTGCTCCTCGCTGGTGGGCCTCCACTTTGCCTCACTTGCTCCCATCTCCTCCGCCGCCCTTTTTATTCACCTGCGCCTCCCTTCTTAATACCCAGCACCGTGGGCTCCCACCTCACAGCTCCATCCTCCCTCGGACCCAGTATCTGCCAGCCCTTCCCGGCCCCGGCCCCGCCCCCTTATTCACCAGACTACTCTCCTTCGGACTTCATTCGGACCACAGGGTAACTAACCACCAGCCTAACCACCAGCCGAACAGAATCGCAGACCCCACAGATGAAAGAGGGATGGGGGCTGCCAGGATCCAGAGTGTGTCACTCATCGTCTCCACTAGTGGCCCCTTGCTGCTGAACAACTGCTGTTATTTTGGTCAGGTATCCAGGCAGGAGGCCTCATATTCTTTAGCTCCTGTAAAAATTCCCATCACCTTAAAGGCAGGGCATCACTATGCCAGGGGGTCACTTCACAGGAGAAAACAGGCTCCAGCAGGAACCAAATGCATTTCTATTTGATTCTCTGATTGAGTGCTCTAACCAGCGATAACTCTAGCCAACCTTCAGGGAGTGTTTATTCTACCAGCAATGTCCTGTAGTGGTGAGTGCTATGTCCCCACTTCACAGGTGAGAAAACTAAGGCCAAGTGACCTGCCCAAGGTCACAGCTAGTAGCTGACAGAGCTGGGATTCAAACCTAGCCAGGCTACCTCTAGAATCTTTGCTGTTAACCTCTATACCAACTCTACCCAATAAAAATAAAATATGAGCTACATATACAATTTTAAACATCAGCAAGTGAAACCAGACATGGATTCTGGCTCACATGGAACTTACCTTCTAGGGGGAGAGATGTGAACAGGAGTCAGAGTAAGCCAATTATATACTGTACAAGAAATCATTAAAAATAAAATCTCCTGTGAACCCCCAAATATACTTTCCACAAATGTAGGAAAGAATGAAACAGTTTTATTATTGAAGAAGCATTAAATCAGACTGTAATGCACATGGGCCATGGGGAGCAATAAACGTGACGGGTAAATTACATGGTGTGTTGGAAGGGGATCAGCGCTGGGGGAAAGTAGAGCAGGGAAGGGAATGGGGGATAAGCCATCCGAGTGGGGAGACCCTGAATTCTGAGAGACGGATTGACTTTTATATGTGCTTAATTTCTCTTCAATATACGGATTTTCAAGAAATTGTTTACTATTGAGGTTTTCAAACAGATCCCAAAGTAGAACAGGGTAAGAGCACTGGCTCTAACAGTTCACTCTGGACCAATTTGCTTTCATCTCTACTCCCACCCACTTGCTCTCCTGGGCTATTTGAAGTAAATCTTAGAAGTCACACTACTCTGTCCATAGCAATATATTACTCCCCCTGTGCATTTAAAGAAATTGAAGTTAGTTGAGTTACAATGTTTGTATTAGTTTCTGGTGTACAAATAGTGATTCAGTTACACACATATATATATATACATATTCTTTTTCATATTACTTCTCGTTACAGGTTACTACAAGCCATTGGATATAGTTCCCTGTGCTATACAGTAGGACCTTAATTATCTATTTTTATGCATAGTGGTGTGTATCTGCCAATCCCAGACTCCCAATTTATCCCTCCCCACCCCCTTTACTCCCAGTAACCATAGTTTGTTTTCTATGTCCATGAATCTCTTTCTGTTTTGTGAATAACTTCATTTGTGTCATTTTTTTTAGATTTCATATATATGTGACACATATGGCACTTGACATTTTCTCTGACTGAGTTACTTCACTTAATATGATAATCTTTAGGTCCATCCATGTTGCTACCAGTGACATTACTTCATTCCTTGTTTATGGCTGAGTAGTATTCCATTGTGTGTGTGTGTGTGTGTGTGTGTGTGTGTGTGTGA